CTTGGCGCAGGCCAGTGTGCTGCAGGCTCTGAAGGGAGCTGCCGAGGCCTCAGGCCCGCCTGGCAGGGCTGGCTCTGCTGCAAATCCCATCCGCAGCCCAGGCTCCTCCACTGGGCATCTCCTTACCAGGGAAACTTGAAGACATTTTTCCCCGCTGAGTAGCAGCACTTTCTACTCATAGCCCTGTCCCCCTGTTCTTCCCCCACCCCGACCCTTGGGTTCATGAAACGGCAAAAGCCTTTTGTCCGGGGCTCCCTCAGCAGTGAGATGATACCCAGACCCTCACATCTGTGTTGATCCGCCTGACCCTCAACTGGCACCCCATTCCATGGGGTAAAACAGAAAAAGGGGGAGCCAACGCTTTCTCTGGTGTAGCCATTCATTTATTCTATGGAAGTAAGGGATTAAAGGCTTGGCCGTGACATTTATCTTGGCTTGTTGCTTTAATGGACCACACCTGGCAACACCCGGCAACCCATCTTTCTCCATCTTAGCTAGTACCCCTCCCAGTGAGGCAGGAATCATGGAAGGCGCCCAGTCAGGAGCCAGAACTCCCACACCCGCCTGGCAACAGCAAGGTAGTGTCCCTCTTCCTCTCTTGGGGTGGTGTCAGAGAAAGCCAGCCAGAGCAGAAGGATTAAATAAGGTCCAGAGCCTCAGAAGATAACACTCAAAATGTCCAAGTTTCTATCAAGAATCAACCTAAATACAAGAACCAGGAAGATTTCAAACTGTAATTTAAAAAAAATGTAGCCCAGCCAGTGTGGCTCAGCGGTTGAGCATCCACCTAGGATCCAGGAGACTGAGGTTTCATTCCCGCTCAGTGCACATGCCCCGGTTGCAGGCTTGATCCCCAGCAGGGGCGACGCAGGAGGCAGCCGATCAATGACTCTCTTTCATAATTGATGTTTCTCTCTCTCTCTCCCTCCCCCTTCCTCTCTCTGAAATCAATAAAGATATATTTTTTAAAAAAATTAAAAAGCATGTATTAATGAAATTGAAAAGAAAAACAATAGAGAAAATTGATAAAATAAAGAGCTGGTTCTTTGCAAAGCTGTATAAAAAAGAGAAGAAAAAAAAAGAGAAGACACAAATTACCAATATCAGGAATGAAATAGGAAATATAACTACAGACCCTGCAGACATCAAAAGGATAATAGGAATTACCACCAACAACTCTACAGACACATAAATTTGAAAACTTAAATGAGATGGACCAATTCACTCCTCCCTCCCAAAAAAACCCCACAAACTACCATAACTCACCCAATACAAAATAGATCAAAAAGAATATAATTATCTTTATAATTATTAAGGAAATTTAATTCATAATTTTAAAATTCTCAAAAAGTACATTTCTAGACCAAATGGTTTCACTGGATAATTCTACCAAACATTGAAAGAAGAATTAACACTAATTCTACACAATCTCTTCCAGAATATAGAAGAGCAAGGAACACGTCTCAATTCATTTTATAAAGCTAGTGTCACCCTGATACACACAGTACAAAAAAAGAAAGCTATAAACCATTCTTTGCAGACCACATACCCAACAAAGAACTAGTATTGAAAATATAAAAACAACTCTCAAAACTCACCAGTAAAAAAAATAAACACTCCCATTAGAAAACTGGCAAAAGATATGAAGAGACATTTTACCGACGGCTATAAGCAAATGAAAAAGTATTCAACATGGTTAACAATCAGGGAATTGCAACATTAAAACCACAGTGAGGTATCACTGCACCATTTCAAAATGGCTATAATAAAAAAAAAATAGTGGCACTAAATGTTAAGCAAGGATTGGAGAAACTGGATCACTCACTGATTGTTGGTGGGAATGTAAAATGGTACAGCCACTCTGGAGGCAGATTGAGAGTTTCTTAAAAAGTTAAACATGCAATTACTACACAACCCAGCAATTGCATTCCTGGGCATTTATCCCAGAGAAATGAAGACTTATGTTCACACAAAAACCTATACATGAATGTTTATAGCAGCTTTATTCATAATAGCCCCAAACTGGAAACAACCCAGATATCTGTCACTGAGTAAATGATTAAACAAACTGTGGTATAGCTCTATCCTGTAATACTGCTCTGTAATAAAAACATATGGACCTTTGATACTTGGATAAGTCTCCAGATGATAATATTTAAGAGGTGGGGGGAGCCGATGTGAAAAAGTTACACCCTGATTCCATTATACAACCTTCTTGAAATGATAAAATTATAGAGATGGAGAGCAGATTAGTAGTTATCAGAAGTTAAAAAGGAGATAAGGGTAGGAGGGAAGCGGATGTGTGTATAAAAGACAGCATGAGGGATCCTGGTGATGAGAGGACGTTCTGGATCCTGACTCTATGTCAGTATCTGGGTTCCGATGTGTATTAGAGTTTTATACGACGTTACCACTGGGGAAATGGATAACGCATACAGAAGATCTCTGTATCATTCCTTACAGCCGCATGTGAATCCACAATGACTCACAATCAAAATCCTAATTTAAAAGCATTTTCTGTGAATTTGCAATTACTCAAAATCAAAAAATTCTAACTTAAAAACATTTTTTTTTTAACATAAGGGAAAAGACAACAGTCCTCCCCCAGTTAACATGACCAGGAAATTCTTGGGGGAAAAAGCGACAGTGCCGTCAAGTCCCTGACTATGATTCCACAATTTTCCTCCAAATACAAAGAGGAGGTATTTTACATTGTATTTCATAAAGCATATTAACTCCCTAGCATCGAATTTTTATGATCCACGGGGATTTGGCTCTCCCTTCTGATTCTGCAATTCTGATACAAATTAAATTTATGCTGACCCAACTGGGAGTTGCTAAACCCCTTAAAAGCAATTATAGCCATAAAGAGATGCTGTAAAATTGATACTGGAGCTATTCAGCCCACACCTCCTCCCTCCCCTCCACCTCCTTCACACACACACACACACACACACCCACACACACCCACACACACCCGTAAAGCGCCTGTCGCCCTGCACGGGCTGACGGTGTATCCCGGGAACCGCAGGCCGCACGAGGTTGTCGACTTCAAGCTCGCCTTCAGCAAGGACAAGTCAACAACCAACTGCCACCTTGACTTTCTGAATAACGGCAGCATAAAACAGCGAATGAAACCGACATGCCCTCTTTCTCCATCTTTCATGGTTTTGAACATTACCCTTTGTGTTCAGATGAGGAGTCCAAATCTTAGAAACAGTTATATAAAGACTGACCCTTGGCCCTGGTGGGGTAGCTCAGTGGGTGAGAGTGTCCTCCCGATGGTCCGATCGCTGGTCAGGGCACATACAAGAATCAACCGATAAATAAGTGGAACAACAGATCGATGTTTCTCTCTCTCTCTCTCTCTCTATATATATATATATAATTAATTATATATATATAATTTTTTTTTAAAAGACTGACCCTTGAGAATTGATAGACCTTTTCTCTTTACCACGGTGACTTCTTTTTTCTTTTATTTCCCACAAGACAATAAATACCATAGCCATTGTTCTGCTACAAATGTGTATTTTTTTTCTCACTCCAGGTGTAGAAAACTAAAAATATAAGCAGAGGCAGATTAGGGGGTGGGGGAGGCTATTTCTGATCTGCCTCCATGATTTAAAGTGTCTCAAAACAGATACCCAGTTTTTTAATGTGCTAATTTGAAATGTTTGGAAAACAAACATGCAGAGCATGAAACAGTTCATAGCAGTTTCCAGTCCAGTCAGTTCTCTTCAGTTTTACACTCTAATCCTTTTCTTAGTAATTCAGTGTGGGGGTTTTTCAGTTACTAAATTATTATAAATGTGTTTTTCCCTTTGTGGATAGCTTGGTTAAAATAAGATTATGAAAAGGAACACTGTCTTCTTGTGACTAAATTATAGAAAACTGTTATCATAATCAAATTACCTAAATGTTAAAAATACTCTCACTTCCTCAAAACTCTGCTCCCATCTAAAAACCAATCTGAGATATAATGAGTCCATGAAATTTACATTGATCAGTTCAAATAAATTGTAGCCTGCACTAGAGACCTGTCTTCTTCAAGTTAGGGATTTTAAAACTGTTAACATACACCTAATTATCTCTATATTCCAGTATTCAACAAACAGCACAATAAGATGTAACACAATCATTTTCAATTTGATATGTAATTGAAGCCATATGACAGAACATAAATTATAGCACTTAGATTATGTTGTTTTCATAACAGAAGTAATTTATTGAAAGAAATAAAGCAGCTATTTTTGTGATTTTCCCTCATACTTAGACCAGCATTCCAGTGGCTCTAGGTGTCCAATTTTTTTGTAACCAAACACTATTAATAACACCTCAATATAAAAACAAAATGTTTTCACAATAAAGCCAGGCCCCCACCCACCTTCTTCCCCACAGAATGCGGCTTGTGTTCCAGCTTGTGGTCTCTTCCCTGGGTAAATCTGCTTTTAGTCCTGTGGCTTGGGGAAGAGGTATTTGTCTACAGGGCTGGACAAACGAGCTAAGAAGCACATAATTCTTCTAAACAAGCAGGACATTCCAGCACAGCCTACATAACAGCTCCCAGGTTCTCGATCTTGCGACCCAGGGCTATCTGCAAATTCCCTGCTCTTATTCACTCCCTCACATTCAAAGGAATGTCCTCAAATATTCATGACTGGTAAGGAAGTCAGAGTCTCTGATTTGCAACTCTTACAAGATAAAATTTTGTCTCAGAAGCTGTGACTGAGAAATTTTTCCATCTAATGAAATTATAGCAAGTTCTTGACCTCAGCAAAGGTCAAGAAAAGCAAGGGAAAGTCAATGATTGACTTAAATGGTTCTGGACACTTTTGATTTAACTGTTTACTGTGAGCACCTTCGTTGTTAGGCACCATATGAGGGGTAGCACTCAGCAAGACAGGCATGGTCCCAATAGCACAGACTGTCTAATCAAAGACAGTTATGGACACACTGAGTGGTGAACTGCTTCAGGGGCATCTTTAGGAGTCAGCAACATGGCAGAAGACACCAAGACCCCAATCCAGAACTACCAGACTGCTTCTTATGACAGCTGCTTCCCCAACCAGAACCAGATCAGGAACTGTTGGCAGAACTACCTGGACATCCACAGCTGTGAGGAGGCATCGCCAACTTTATTGGTTGTTGCCTCCATATCTGAGTGCTAGTGGCATGTGCACAAGGCCCTCTGCCCATGTCCTGGGTGTGGGCCTGGGATGACCTTGGAGCAGAAGGCACATTTCCTGGGAAGACCTGAACTGGCTCCACCCCATGCCTCCTCTGTCTTCCACCCTTCTCCCAGGGAAGGGAATGGGGACCTGGATACATCCCACCCTGGGATCCTGAATCATGGTTTAACTAGTAATAAGTACTTGTTGGAAAAGTGGGGGGAGGGGGGAGAGACAATTATCAAACAGGTATTACAAGTGGGAAAAGTATGGCTTGGTTGGTTGGAGCATTGTCCTGTACACCAAAAGGTTTCAGATTCGGTCCTGGTCAGGGCACAACCGATGGATGTTTCTCTCTAACATCAATGTTTCTCTCTCTCTCTAAAGTCAATGAAAACATATCCTTGGGTGAGGATTTAAAAAAAAAAAAAGTATGACAAAAGTAATAAAAATATGTCTCAGGAATGCAAGTTTCACTCTTTGAATTTTGAGACTGTATAAACCCAGATGTCATATTTTTTATCTTCTCAATCATGAGAATCATTCCCCCTTCACTTTTTTGGGATCTTTTTCAATAAGACAGATTTTATTATATTTCCTCAGACCAACTGTAAACAAGATCTATGGAAGGAATATGCAATATATCCTGTAGGACTTGGACCAGATGAAAGTAAAGAGACTCAAAAATCACTTACAAGTCAAGTCTGAAGACAGTGATTGCAGGGGCTGATTCACCTGCTTAGCAATGCCACCAGAGACCCAGGCTCCGGTGATTCTGCTCCGACCCTTGTCCTTCACCTTTATGCCTGTTGCCTCATGACTGCAGGATGATTGATGATGCCCTTTGACCATCACGTCTTCCTTCGAGCAAGGAAGGAAAGGAGTAAGGGGAAATGCCATCCATGCCTGACCCCTTTTATTGAAGAAGCCAAATTTTTCCAGAAATGTCAACAACAGGCTTCCCTCTTACATCTTCTCTATCAGAATGAAGTCACATGATGAGCTCCTTTGCCTCAGGCTCCTGATGAGTTTGAGCAAATGAGGGACATGAGCAAAGATCAGAGGGTGAGAGTTGAGAGAGATCAGAGAGTTCCTTCACTGTCCCTCCCGTTTGTTCCCTTTCAGCACTGCAGTTCTGGCAGTGGCCACATCCTGCCATAACTGCAGCTTGTACTGGGCACCTTCCTCCATGGCTCCAGCTCTTTCTGGGCTCTGGGAACAACACTCTATCTCTTGCCTTTTCAGGCCTTGGGGTGGTGACAACCTCTCACTGTAACTGGTCTCTGGGTGCCTTACTGATACCTTTAACACTTCCCTCATCTCTGGAAATGGACTCTTCATTAAAATATTTTTATTTGACCATCTGAGTAAAATTCTTTTTCACACCAGGACTCCAACTGATACACAAAGACCTTTAACTGCAACAGAGGCTGGAAAAATAGGGACAAGAGCCATACTGACTCAGACAAATCATGATCCATTGTCTAGAGTTGGGCACATACCACATGGACGAATGTATAATTAAGGTAACAAAGAAACAGCAGGGATTCAGTGGGTGCCTAACACTGCCTACTATACATGATTTACAATCAGGGGTAGTTTAAAAAGCAACCTGAAGATTGTGTCTTTTTCTTTTTTTTTTATTGCCCTCAACTAACACAGTGTCTGGCAAAATACATTTCTTCCAGTAAATAAATAATAATACCTTACACTTACAGAAAGCTTTGGTGTGCCTTCTCCTATATTACCCCATTTGATCCTTGCAAATAGCCCTGTGAGTAAGGCAAGGCAGGCATTTTTATCCCCATTTTATAGATGAATAAACAGAAGTTTAAAGAGAATAACTACCTTGCCTTGGGTCTCACAATTAGTAAGTGGTGGGACTAGAAAGCAACATCAGGTTTTCTGACTCTGAAATCAGGCCTCCAGAGCCAAGTCCTGGCCAAGGTGCATGCCTGTGGGTTCAGGGCACAAAGCCTAGACTGAGTGTTGGGTAGGGCCACGCAAAAGGGAAAAAGCAATGTGTTACACAGCTTCTCTGATTCCTGGTCACTGACATCCACCAGCAGCGAGAATGGAAGACTCATGAGTTTCTCTTTAAAAACTCAAATTGTGCTTCAACTGAATCAGTAAAGAACATGAATATTTAAATCACATAAACATGCATTGTATTCATGGCTCTACCAATTACTAGTTGTACAACTTTGGGGCAAATTATTCACTCTCCATGCACTATATTTTCCTGTGTTATAAAATGCATACGAGTTCTAACTTAGATCATTTATGTAAAGTGATTAGCTTTAACTTAATAAATGTGATGTCTTACATCCATAATTATTATGATTATAAGTTATCTTGGATTCTATAACAAACTTTTAGGAGTTTTGCATTTATTAAGAAACAGCATTACCTGGCTGGCATGGCTCAATGGTTGAGCGTTGACCTATGAACCAGGAGGTCACGGTTCGATTCCCGGTCAGGGCACATTCCAGGGTTGTGGGCTCCATCCCCAGTCTGGGGCTTGCAGGAGGGAGCCAATCAATGACTCTCTCTCATCATTGATGTTTCTTTTTTGTTTCTTTTTTTTATTTTTGTTCAAAATATCACAGATGTCCCTTTTTCTCCCCAATGACCCATTCCACCCCATCCCACCCCCCTCCCCAGCCCCTCTCCACACCATTGTCCATGTCCTTGGGTTGTGCATATATGCATATAAATTCTTCGGTTAATCTCTCCCCCTCCACCCATCATCATGGATGTTTCTATCCCTCTCTCCCTCTCCCTTCCTCTCTCTGAAATCAATAAAAACATATTTAAAAAAAAAGAAAAGAAAAGAAACAGCATTAAAGTAGTAGTACAGAGAAGACAAAAACGTTTCCCCAACAACTCTCAGATAGGATTAAACCACAAAAATTACTACACAATTCCCATGGCTTCTGATCATTCACAAGATCTCGATAGCTGACACTGATAGAGGTTTGCTACGTCACAGGTGTCAGGAAGTAAATTTTAACCTTTCTAAACAGTTAAGACTGGGGAAATGTTACTGGGACTTAGGTGAGAGGACAAGTCTTGAAGTCCAGAAAATTATTAAATAAATAACAAAAGATTCATCTCCCCAGTGATACGCGTTTAAATTTCTAGGGGCAGATGAGATCCAAAGTCACAGAGACATTCTAAGAGTTGTATCCTTAGAAACATGTGTCTTCTCTATCACAGGAGATAGTTACTGAATTCCAAAAAGATGTAAATCTTAAAAACCCAGTATCTTTCCCCTTTACTCCCCAAGGAGAATTTGTCTACAGTAGGTAGCAAAGGCATCTCTCTGTTTCTTGAAACATGAGGAGACAGCCAACTTTCTTCTGTTTAAGCTCCAGGTTCATATTTTCGAGATTCATCTCCTACAGCATAACACATACCCTTAAGTGTAGGCCTGTCCATTAGCTCTTATTGTATCGTCTCAGAAAGGGAAAGAATTGGGGACAAAGGCAACAAGTAAGGTAATTTCAGTAACTAATAACAATCTGTCCCTGTTCCAGCAATTTCATGTCTACTTCCAAGATAATAAAGATAAATAACTTCATTAAACACATCACCAAGCACTATCTGAAGTGTTTTATGTGAATTTCCCATTTGTTCCTCATAAAAATACTCTGAGTGAAGTGCTCCTATTTTTCCTATGTTCAAATGGGACACTGAGGCCCAGATATAATAAGTAACTTGCTCAAAACCTCCCAACTATTAAATAGCACAGACTGGATTTGCACCCAGATAGTCCAGGTTCAGAAGATACACCCTCAATACCATGCCATGCTACCTTTAACCAATCATCTTTCTCACTGAATATTTGTGACTCACACTGAAGCAGGATTCACAACTAGAAGTCTCTTATTCAATCATGTCCAACTACTTCCTTTCCTAGTTGAAAAGTTTATTAGGAGATTGTTCTTCTGCCTAGTGTTTGAAGTATACATGTAGCTGTTTAATGCTAAATATAAAGCACTTACTCCTCAAAATAACTTTACTTTGAATAGGCTACATGTAGGCCATAAGTATAAACGTGTTGATGGCCATGGGTTAGAGTCATAGGTTAATTTGATAGTCCCCTTTCTGCCACTTAAATTAAGATATATTTGGCTCTGATATTTGAATAGCTTCAAGTATTTCCTTAGCTTTAAGTTTTACACTTTCCTACTCAGTTCCTCCTGTGGAGAAACCTCTATGTGTCCAGTCATGGGACTAGAAGGAAACGGATGGGACAATCAAGAAGAGTTTTAAAAAGCATTTACTTACAAAGGAGTAGGTGGTGTTAGAAATCGACAAAGGCTGGTGCAGCTCCCCAGGACCAGGAACAATTAGGAGCCATTACCACCCACTGGTCTGAGGGTAAGAGAGGGTTATTTGAACCCAGACAGAGAAGCCATAGCTGTAGCAGAGAGCTACCTACACTCAAGGGTTGTAACCTTTAGCAGAAAGACAAAATCAATCAATGACAACTCAGCAAAAAGGAGTCTGGAGGAATAAATACCTGAAACCCGTCCCCCTCCCACTATCAGCTCGCCACTGGTCCTCCTGTTGGGCAGACACACCCCAAAACCAGAGTGGGAGGGGGCCTTTGATATAGTCCATAAAGGCAGCTTCTCAGGATGAAGAGCAGAGTGAAGAAGGCAGGAAGGCTGACCATGAGAAACAAGCAGAAACCATCAAGCACACTCTGAATTAAAAGAGCCTGGGCATGAGTTTTTCCCTATTATCTCTTCGTTGCAAAGAAAATTTTTCCTTAAAAAAAAAAAAAAAAAAAAGAGCGGTTTCTCATTCACTAGCTACATGTATTAAAAGACAAGATGTATACAATTAAGGGCTTCTCTGTAATTAGCAACGAAGTTATCATGGGCCTCCAGCCATTTTTCAAGGAAAGAGAGGGTGCTCCACCGTGGAGAACCCGGCTTCGTCAAAGGAAATGGGCTGTACAGGTGGAGATCCCAGAAGATAAAAACGACATCAAAGGAACACAGCCCAAGGCCAACCAAGAAGGGACAACCAAATATAATTTGTAGAGAAACTAGACTCTGTTCCAAATAAACCTGTT